CCTCCAGTCTGGGCACAGAGTGAGACTCCAACTCAAAAAAAAAAAAAAAAAAAAAAAGAATTACCCAGAAAGATCTTGAAGCACTTACTTCAATATTTGAATGGGATGTGCTTCTACTTTTAAAGGTATACCCCAAAGAATTGAAAGTGGGAACTGGAACAGATATTTGTACACAAGCACATGAAAACACACTCAACACCACTAATCATTAGGAAAATACAAATCAAAACCATAGTGAGATACCATCTCACACCCATTTGGATGATTACTAACAACAACAGAAGCCAACTGAAAATAACAGGTGTTGGTGAGGATGTGGAGAAATTGGAACCTTGTGCACAGTTGGTGGGAATGTAAAATATTGCGACTGCTAAGGAAAACAGTATGGAAAATCCTCAAAAAAATGAGAAACAGAATGACCATAAGATCCAGAAATTCCACTCTTGGCACATACTCAAAAGAACTGAAAGCAGAGTCTGAAAGAAATATTTATATACCCGTGTTCACAGCAGCATTATTCGTAATCACCCAAAGGTGAAAGCAGCCCAAATGTTCATCAGTGGATGAACCGATAAACAAGATGTGGTATATACACGCAACAGAACATTATGCAGCTTGAGAAAGGAATGGAATTCTGAGATATGCTACGATGTGGACAAACCTTGAAAACACGCTGCTACGTGAAATCAGCCAGATACAAAGGGACAGGCGTCGTGTGATTTCACTTAGATGAGATACCTGAGGTAGTTAAATTTGTAGAGACGGAAAGTACCGTCGAGGTTACCAGGGGCTACAGGGACACAGGAACCAGGGGCTGGAAGGAGTTGTTGTTTAATGAGTACAGAGTTTTAGTACGGGATGATGGAAAAGTTCTAGAGATGGACGGGAGCGATGGCTGTACAACAGTGTGGATGCCCTTAAAGCCATTGAATTGTACACCTCAAAATGACTCCAGTGATACCTGTCATGTGATGTGTTCTTTACCACCCGGCAAAAAAATCAATCAATCAATCAATAAGCATAGACGAACTTAGAATGCGGCTTGCGTGTACATGAGGGACAATCACAAGTCATCCGTTCTCTTCAGAACCCTAAGACATGTCCTCCTCCTGGCCTGGTCATGCCTTAGGAAGGTGCTCAGCCCTGGCCGGGGTCTCTGTTCTCATCGTTCAGCGAGGAGGGTCTGATTAAGTGGCATTGCTGTATCCACCTGTAATTTACAAAAATAATATGTCATCCTCACCATTTGTCAATACTGTCTGTGGCTGCACACAGAATGGGAATACTTTCAGAAGCTTCCAGCAGGCGGTCCTCAAAAGTTAAAGCAAATCTAACATTGTGAAGGTCTTTCTAATCTTGTGTTGTTTCAGGGGAATGCTTCCTCTAAAGGACGATTTCAGCATGTCTGGAATCTACGAAGAAGAGCCCAATGGATGTCATAGAACAAGCCAACTTAAAAAGGGGGGTGGGCGCGGGTGGGGAATGTTGCCAGCTTGCAGAAATCCCCTCCACCCCTTTTATACCAAAGGAGCTGCATCTTCATCCCATAATAAATGCAAACTTGGAAAGGCTCACGAGCCTGCCTGCCTCTTCAGCTAATGACAGCTTCAATTATGGGACCTAATCCTGCATTCCTGACACTCCCCTATCCCTGCATAACTTCCAGGGGAGTCAAAGGGCCCTCCGCCCTGGCCCTGGCGAGGGACACATTAGTTATGCAGGAGCAATGCCTGGGGCGTGCTGGCAAATTTAAGGGTCTGTTCATATAACTGCACACACTTGGAAGCCTTAAATCCTCATACTTTGACTCTTCACCTTATACTAAAATAAAAAGCCACAGTAACTCCATTAAAAAATATAAAATTCCTCCACAGGAAATGAATACTAGTTTGCTTCCAATTTACATTGGTTTTAGGTTTTTTCTTCCCCACCCCCTTTTTACTTTTAACATTAGTGTTCAATTCTACGGAAAATATTTTCTATAAGAAAAAAATAATAATAGACACCAGCATCATGCTGGGCCTTTGCATTTTATTTGCTAAACTGGGCAAAAGGTCTTTGATTTGCTGGCTCTCACTCTCTAGTAAATCAGTAGGAATTCTTTGCAAATACAAGGTTGGCTTAAGGCACCCTATGCAATGTCTAATGACATCTAATGACCTCTGGCTTATTGAGAAGTGGCCTTGTTTTATAGAAAGTATTTACCCATCCAGCTATATTAGCAATGAGACTGTAACTCATTTTCATACTAGGCACACATTGTGCATTATCACTCTCCTAATTAATCCCAGACAATTCAGGGGGCAGTATTCTTAGTTCTGATCTTCCTCACTGCTCCTCAAGACAGAGAGAGTCAGCAAACGGAGGGTCACGCTCTGTGTCCCCCAGGCATACCCCTCCGTCCCAGCCCAGAGCCCTCTCCACCCTAGACATACTCCCTCGGGACTGGGGAAGCCCTGGGAACCAGCACACCTCTGTTGATCTCCGAGGCAGTGGGACTTCCTTGGGGGAGAAGGAGTCTGGGGTCAGCAGACATCTGGCAAGCCTGCTTAATGGACAAAGTCAACAGCAACTTCCCCAGAGGCAGAAAATAAACTTGAAGCTTGGTAGACCAAGAGCGGGCTGGGGTCTGTGCTCTGCACAACTGAGACTCTCACACATTTGCTCTAAGCCCTCCCTGAAACCACCTTTGACTCCTGGGGTGCAGGTGGGGGTGCCCCTCCCACCCGGCTGCTAGCTATTCAAAGCCAAGGTCTTGGGCTGAGTGTTCCAAACCTCTCTTTCCCATCTCCTGCCTCACACACATAAAATAACAATCTCAGGGTCTTTGATAACTTGGCCTCCAAAATGGGAGATTTTTAGGTCTGCTGAAAAAGGAACCTCTCTTCCTCCTTTCTCCTCCTTGGTTCTCAGAATCTGGCAAGGCAAGCGTTCAACCATGAGCATGACCACCTATAAACACCTTCAAAAGACCAGTTCCCTCAATTACTGGGCCCCTTGAGCACTGGGAAACCTTCCCTTGTTGCATCTGAAGGAGCACTATGCTTGGAGTCAGGAGCTCTGTGTTCAAGTTCTAACCTCTCCAAGCCTTGATTTTCTCATCTCTAAAATGGGCATAATATACTTCTCTGCTTTCTGTGTAGGGTGGTTGCCAAACAACAGTCCGCCTCAGTGTCCTCTCCCAGCTTCTGTTCTAATCAGTCAATACAATGTTGGAGGCTCGTATATTGACGATCTTTTCTTTTCACTCTGTCCCCTAGGCAATCTTGTCCACCTCGATAGTGAGGGTGTCAGCACTCTGCCCAGTTGCCCTGGAATGTCTTTTCAGTGTTTTTGTGCCCAGCCCCCCTACCAGCTGCGGTGTTCTTTCAGCTGCACCTACAGCCCCAGGAGGAAGAAAAGGAGGAAAAGGAGGAAGAGGAGGGGGAGGAGGAAGAAGAGGGATGCCCTCAGGAATTGCTTGGGAGATTGCACACCCCTCCCAGAAAGATTCGTTTGTGGTGGTTGGGGCAGCAGTGAGGCCTGACTTACTCCTGAGAGTTTCCCTTGGAGATCAGACAAAAGCCTATCCTTTGCAGGGATTTCACCTGAGATTCACCCTTTGATGGGCTTCTTCCCCTCCCGTGTTCTGCTCCCCTTTCTCTGACCAGTCTCCTCAGGAAACACTGCCTTAATAAGTGACTTTTGCATGACCTCTCTTCTCAGGGTGTTTCTAGGGACCTCCTCCAAAAATAACACCCATGATTTCAGTTACATCCAGTTCAAACTTCTCTGAGCTCCAGACCTATGCATCTAAATCGCTCCTTGACATCTCTTGTTTCTCAGTGGTGGCCTTGAGGTCCACACACCCAAAACAGGTCAACACACCCAAAACAAAATTCGTGATCTTCCCATCTCCCCAATGCCTCCAGTGTTTCCCAGCTCAGTGAATCCCTCCTCTTCCTCAAGGTAGAATCCTAGGACTCTCCCAAGGCTCTACCTTCCCTTTCAACCTACCTTCTCTCTCCACCCCAGTCCCCACACCATACAAGCCACCTTCAAGCTTCTGTCATCTTCATATTTCAGACATATTTAAAATCTGCAAAACTCCCTCCATCAACGTCTATTGCCACTCTGCCCAAGTCACTGTCAATTTCAAGATACTCATAATTCCTAATAGATTTACATACCTCTCTTCCAGTTTCCAACATTAGTGATTACTCTACAGCGTCAGTCTAATCATATCACCTCCTGACACAAAGCTCTTCAACAGATCTTCATTGCTCTCAGTTAAGCACAAAACTCCTTGCACGGCCCACCAGGCCCTGCACGGCACCAGCATTTCTTTTCACCCTAGACGTGAGTCCTTGGCTCCTGTGGTCCTTCCACCCAGAATGTTTTTCTTTCTCCTCTTCCCTTTCTTGCCCGGCTTCTTGTTCTATGCAGCTCCATTTAAGGCTCTACTTAGACAAATATCTGAAGGTTCAGGTACTAGAAAAAGTGATCATCTATGTCTAGTATTCCTAAATGAAATATAATTGCTTCTGCTTCGTTTCTTGTAAAAATCACCACAAAAGCTTTTCTCCTGATCCAGTAAATATGGTGTTTTGAAATAGTGTGATTCAAAGTAAAGACCATGAGTTTGTGTCGAACAAGGGTAGGGTAGGATTTATTTTGCTTATGCCCTGAAACTAGTAGGTGCTCGATAAGCATGTCTGAAATGAAATCTGACTCCCCACTGAACTACTGTGTTAAGATAAAATGTTGGCGGTTTCTGGTTCCATTTATTTTCCTCTCTCTGCATACAAGACCAAGAGCTTGACTTAGTCTCAGTGTCACCTACCCTGATCACCAACAGGAGCAGGGCTTTGCATCGCTGAGCATTTCCCCCCAAGTTCTCATCACTCTGACATGATCTTGTTTATATTTCTTTCTCTCCCCATACTAGAATGTCAGTCCCATGAGAGCAAGGATGCATGATTACTACTTCTCCCTGCCTGGAGCCTAAAATGGTGTCTGGCACATTAAAAGCCCTCGATAGCATCGTTGGACTGGTGGATGAGTTAATGATTTCTTTCCAGAATCATGATGTGTTTTGGAGTGAAAAAATGCTGACCGCCACGGTAGTACTAAGACACTTACATCACCATGACATTCAGTCACAGGCCTGAAATCCCAGGCTGGTCTGTGGCAATCTTGACTTGAATCCAGGTCTTTTGCCCCAGATCTGCAATATTCTTATGGGAAAAAGTAAACTTTTGCCCAACACTTAGGGAATGCTGAGTACTCTTTTTTTGTTTGTTTTGTTTTGAGTTGGAGTCTCACTCTGTCACCCAGGCTGGAGTGCAGTGGCAAATCCATGGCCTCCCCTGCAACAACCTGCTGAGCTCCGGTGATCCTTCCGCCTCAGTCTTCCAAATAGCCAGAACTATAGGCAAGCATCTCCACATCCGGCTAATTTTTAATTTTATTGTAGGGACAAGGTCTCGCCAAGTTGCCCGGGCTGGTCTCAAACCTGCAGGCTCAGGCAATCCACTCGCCTTGGCCTCCCAAAGAGCTGGGATTACAGATTGGGCCACCGAGCCCTGCCTAAGAAATGCTGAGTACTCTCAAAAACCAAGTGCCCATCAAATGGCAACCGTTTGGATATAAAGGCCCGATAAAATCTTGCATCTGTTCTCTGTATCAGAGATGAAGACTCATCTACAGGGTGAACAGACAGGTACGGCCCAAGACTGCTTCCTGCTACCCTCATCCGTGGGCCGTGGCCTTCTGCGCTGGTGCACTGTGGACCCGTGTGCAACCCCTTCTGGCTCTGGCCTTGGACTTGCTGGCCTCTGTGTCCCTCATTCCAGGATGCTCTGGCCTGGCTCTAGATTTCCAGACATTTTTCTGATGTCCTAATTTCTTGATCACCTGTGCTGACACGATCCTGATTTCCTTCAATATGTCTTTTCTCCACTCCTGGGAAATTTATGTCTGCTCCGGCATATGTCCCCATCTTCCTTTGTGAAAAGAGAGGCAAGGAGGAGGGGGGAGGAAGCCTTTTAATATTTTTTAGCGATGTCTTCACGCTCTGTCAATAAATTGCCTCTGCCAGCTTTTAGAGGCCCCATTGGCTCTTGTACTGACCTCTTGTTCCTTCTGTACTTGAAAAATGCCTTATTATTTATCTTAGCCTCTCTCGCAATCTTTTCATTCCTCACCTTTGCTTTCCTTATCATGTTTTTGCACTTTCTTAACTTTGTACTGTAATTTCTCCAGCTGAGTCGCTGTTTGGTTTTTTTCATACTTTCTCGCTTTCCTAGTTTTGATTACTTCCCCTTCCACTACCACATCCTTTTTAGAGCTATTTGTTTGGCCTATTCTCTACACTTTGTGTATCTGTTGCTAGGTAGCACGTACTTCCTTTGGACAGTTTCTATTCATTTCTCTCTGATTATGCTCTTCCATCAGTGGCTGTTCTTTCCAATCTCTTAGGGCTCTTGGATTTTCGTGGTAGGAGCTGCCAACTTTGTTTAACCCCAGGATCTCCTGTGTGTCCTTCTAAGAGGGTCTTAATGCCTGCCAAGTCTTCCTTACTTGGGATGTATATTAGTTTTCTGGGGTGGCCCTAACAAAAATATCATCGACTGGGTGGTTTAAACAACAGGAACTTCTTTTTTTTATTTTTTATTTTTTATTTTTTTGAGTTGGAGTCTCACTCTGTCGCCCAGACTGGAGTGCAGTGGCCGCTCCCGGCCACCGCAGCCTCGACCCGCTGGGCTCCGGCGATCCTTCCGCCTCCGCCTTCCGAGTAGCCGGAATTACAGTGCGC